TTAAATCTTCACAAAGTGATGCACTAAACTAATGTTGCAAGTTTTTGGCTAAAGGCTGGTTTCAGTTTTTAATGTAATCAGTGTTTGGTTCAGGGTTAGGGCTAACTGCAATGCTAACTTACATAATTCATTCATACTCAGAATCAAATCTGGGGATATTTCCTTGTACATTCGCTGTAATCAGATATGAAAAAATCAGATTAGAGTGGTTATATAAGACACCCAGCTTTAGTGGGCAGCACTCTGAACTGACAGTTTAGGATTACATTTGGGCAACAATACTTGGAAATCTGTCACCGCTAAAGAATGCAGCAGTTCAGAAGAAAATCAGTTGCATTTTGGTTGTTCTGTGGACGTGACATGAGAGATAAACTGTCTTTAAGTCTGAACATTACTGTCTCAGAAAACAAGGTTTTTATTTGCCCAGGTGAGAAACAGGAGAGAGGACATGCAAAAGAAGGGCACTGCGTTAATAAATGCGTTGAATGACAGTAACGTGGCGTAAATTCAAATTAAAAATGTACTTCCTCAGTCGTCTTCTCATCTTTTCTGAACTCGATGAACCTGCTCTACCTGCCTCACTCTCAGCGATGAAGCCGCATCGGCGTTCATCTTCTCGACAGCTCTGCCTGATCTGCTCTTTGGATGTCTTTTGTTAGTCGACACAGTTGCACAATGCAACAAACAACGCTGTCAGCATGAAGAGCAGGCTTTGTCTTTTACAGTTTTTGCAAACACTAACCACACAATAACAAAGAGTCTGACAGCAGCCACTGCCTGAAACTCGAGACTTATTTTCATGCATAAAATGACATTTTACACATAATGCGACAAGTTGGCGTTGAAATGACGGTGGGATGGGCTTTGGTTGAAAATGCTGCACCAAGTCGGGGCAAGAAAAGGAAAAACTGTTTCCAATGAAAAGAACTGCAGAAGCCTTGAGCATTTTCCCAGGTGCACTGCAGAAAGAGCGTCTTTGTGTTCGGCACGCTGTCTGGTAAAAATAAAGGTTCAAAGAAATGGCAAGTGCCCACATCAGAAAAGAGCTGAGGGCTTCGTGTTTCACTGGCCCGCGGTGATAGGGAGGGCTGACTTTACACATGATTAGCCAAAGTGACGATTGCAGATGTTAACTGATGTTAGTGTCTTCTAATAAAACAAGAATACTAAAAGAGTAACAGATGATTCTTTGTATTGCTTATCCTGTATCTAAGGCTCGTGCTAACTTTATATTCTCTAACTCTGTTGTATTGACTGGTCCAATTGAGGTTTAGTACAAAACAACACCAGCATGTTTTGATGGCTTAATTGTCTGTTTGGTCAGACTTGAGAGCAAATAATTATGGACAGCAGCTAAAACATTTCATCCTACTGATGCTGTTTTTTTGCTAAGGCTCACTTCTCTGAATTTCTACTACTGAAATGAAGAGTGTAAGGTGACATTAGCGATGAAGTCAGCTGATTGAAATAAACACTAACGCAGATCCAGCATTACAGTGGATTTATACTTCTGTGTTAAATCCACGCTGTAGGTACGCGTAACTCCAAATCCTTCTGAAACCCTACGCTGTAATCTGACATGCACCTCCCCATAAATGTAACACAACCAGCACAGTTATAAATGCTGACATCAGCCACTTGTGTAGGCTCCAATGAAGACTCCACATGGAGTCACCACAGAAACATAATTCAGGTATTAGTGCTTGATTTTACCTTTCATATCTGTCCACCAGGGTCTGATTGGGATGGTGAGTACAACATCACCATGACAACTATAAGAGGGATGTCAAACTCCTTTAACCTTATGAGCCACATACTGTCTGCTTTGTGTGAAACTCCTTTTCTATTAGTGTAAAGAAGTTTAACTACCGTATTTTCTGCACTATAAGGCGCACTTAAAATCCTTTAATTTTCTCAAAAATCATCAGTGCGCCTTATGTATGAATTCTGGTTGTGTTTACTGACCTCGAACCGATTTTATGTGCTACACGGCGCTCAAAAATCTGTCAAAAATGTTTTATTCCGACTTTGGTAAGCTAGGAAGCCGCGCCGCTTGATGGATTGTTGGATTGTTGGAGCATTACGGCTGCTGTAGTCAGGAGCCTCTTGGAGGAATCTGGGTCCTAAACTCCGTCTGTTTCAGGTCCCAAAGTCAAACGAACACTGCAGCATCACTGAGAGTTAAAAAATGTCTAAATTCTTTCATCTTTAATAAAATGATCAGTGTTGCTGCTTTAGCAGGTGTAACAATTAAGTTTAACATCCAGGCATCCATGAAAACAGAATTTATTACATTTAACAGAGTTAGAAGTTAGCAGGAAGTTAGCTCGCTAGCTTCCACCTAAACATGATATAGCATGTTCTGAATGAGAGATTTCTGAACAAATTAAAACGTACAGCTCTGCTATCACTTCCAACATAAATGAAGACAGAAAACTAAACAGCAGTGACTTTTGTAGGGTTACTGAAGTTGGGCTAGCTGCTATATAATGATGTGCTACGTGATCGCTAGCTACACAGCTATGTTAGCATAAACACAGTGAAGCTGGAGGATGAACGCTAATGCTTATAATCTGGTGCGCCTTATGGTCCGAAAAATACAGTACACATGTATTCCCTGAGATATCTTAGCATTAGAAAACGAAGTACAATTCCAGCAGTATGTCTCAGTTTTTCTGCACAACACAGAAATGCTATTCTAGTAAATGAAAGAAATCTGTTACTACGACTCCCTGGGCTTAAACTGTGAAAATTAATAAATATGTAAAATTACAGGAGAAGTTCTGACAAGTCATTATAAAACAGGAAGTTTTTGCTAATTCACAGAAAACGTCCTTTGTTTTGGACCCACTGTAAAAAAATAAATAAATTTCCATAATAATGACAGGAAGACTTAACAGAAGAACGAGGCTCAAGTGGTCAGGGGTGAGAGGAGGAAGAAGCCTGAGGATTCATCCTCTGGGATATCAGCAAGTTAACAAAATCATTTGGGAAAGCTTGAAAGATGTAATGGATACCATGTTGTTCTCACACATGTAATACGAGCACAACTCAGTAATTCAGTTCTTGATTTAAAGTCACATATTTAACTCTGGAGGAAGTATTTTTACAAGAGGCAGGAAACAGCTTTGTGATGTATTCAGCCAAGCAATTTTTTTTAAATAACATAAAAGAAGATGGAGCTCTTCACTATGCATTTTAGGAGTTTTTATGAACTGGATACCCACCATGGCATTAAATTTTGAAAGTTAAACAGTCTGTTACTCTGTCAAGTAAATGCAAAGGACAATTCCAAGTGTAGCTACATATCTGTCTGACATCATATAAGAACAGAGATGTCCATAGTGAATTTTGAAGGTTAAAATTCAGTTTTACATTCATGAAAACTGTAGTTATAAAGCAGTTATAAAGGATTGTATTTGTTCAGCCACATTGCCATGTGTTAAAGGCCTGCTTAAAAACATATCAAGAACTTGAAAACATAATTTGAAGCAAATTTCTTTCAGTGTTTTTTGTGCAAACACTGTGTGTGTGTGTGTGTGTGTGTGTGTGTGTGTGTGTGTGTGTGTGTGTGTGTGTGTGTGTGTGTGTGCATACAATCTGTGGCATTAACCCACAGCTGACCTGCTTTGAGTCTCTACTGGCAGAGGAAGACAGCGAGCCGACTGGGCTTCTGCTTGTCACAGTGCAGCCATTTCATGCCGTGCGGGGGAAAAGCCCTGGTCTGTACCCTGCTGATGCTTAACAACACAGGCACGCCAGCAAGGCACCAAACAGCTGTAAGGCTCCCTCAGTGATCACACACAGCACCACTCACCTCTGCCAGCAGAGTCTCACTTCAGCCAGGCTCCCTCTAAAAGCCCAAACCTGCATCCCGTGACAGCTCTGAGCCAAGACTCCCGATTTAGGAGTATACTGTGAGAGGTGTTTAAGATAACACGAAGAACAGAATGTTGAATATTCTACAAAATCGGCGTATAGCACAGCAGTATCCTCCATAGGACTTGAGTATAACATATATAGAGTATCAGCTGAGGCATGTGTACAGTGGCTTAGACGTGCATGACTTGATGTTCATCTATCCACCAGTCGCCATCATCACCATCCCTCAGGAACATTGCATAGCAGTACAGAGATTAGACTCATAGAACTAAACACAACAGCGCTCGACAACAATTGCACCTTGACCTTTCCACTCAGCTTAATTACCTTCAGTGGAGAAAATACAAGTTGACCGCTGTGTAATGCATTTGCATGCTTTGACTGAATTACACTGTGAAACAACTTCTCTGTTAGTCACCCCCAATTAAGCTCTGTGTTCTGATGATTATCACACCTGCAATGCAACCTCAACAAAGCTTCTCATAGAGACCCATTCAGGAGGGTTTCCTCTGTGGAAAGGCCTCCTGCTCATTTCCCTTTGATTTCAGGTTTGTATCCAGCTGTTCAGCTAATAATGGACTATATAAAAATGATACATTAGATTCTTTATTCTCTTTGTTTGTTTTGTTTGTGGTGGTGTAAAGGATGGAAAGGTTCCCTCACCTTTGACCCAGAACTGGGTAAATATTGAGGCTCAGTTAAATTTTTTTTTGCAAGTCTGCATTTTAAAAGACAAAAATATGAATGCTTGAAGAAAATGGGACAACTCTTGGCTAAAAAATAATGATTAGTAAGGATGCACAATTAGATCAGCTTTTAAATTGTAACTAATTTCACTTTGTGAACATTATTATACCCATAACAACATCTGAACCCCTTCCTTAACAGATATTCTTGCAGTTAGCAGTGTGATCACAACTGTCTTTCTGAATTGACTTTATGACAATGATATTTCTTTAATGTCAGCTTTGACCCCTTTGACCCTTCACAGGGCTCTGAGGCCTTCAGCACCCTCTCTCTCTCTCTCTCTCTCTCTCACACACACACACACACACACACACACACACACACACACACACACACACACACACACAGTGACAGGCACTGTATTAACTTACTTGTAGGAGCTGCCGCCTGAAATCTCCTCTTTGATCTGTTTGTTCACGGCGTCCGCCGCCCTCCCTCTGCCCTCTCCATCCCCCTTCAGGACCACTTTCTTCTCCCCCTCCTTCTTGCTGACGCGCTTTTTCCTCTCCTGGCCCTGGAGCAGGTCCTTCTCCTGGACCTTGTCGGCTATAGCGCTTTTTTCAACGCCGCTGTCCGCCTCCGCCACCACCACGTGCTTTTTTGGGTACTTGGACCTAGCCGGTGTGCGATCTTCTCCCGCGGAGGCGCTCGGAGGCGGTTTGGGTATCCAGGGGTGATCGTACCTCTTCGGGATGGGCCAGGGCTTGAAGTCCTTCTGGTACTGGGTCTCACTGTTGAACGGTGTTTCCGGTTCGTGGTACTGGTTCTTGGGCTTACAGCTCGGTTCGGGACGCACTTTCCAGTGCTTAAAGTCCTCGCGCATCACAGAGCTGCACACGCGCTCCTCGGAGACGCACCTTCGCGGCGCGCGTGCAGTCGGAACGGCGCGGCTTTCTGCGCGAGACGGCTGCGTTTCTATAGCAACTCGGGCCTGGGGAGGATGTAGCTGCGGCTGCAGCTGGATGTGCTGCATCTCGGAGACGTCCGTGTATTTGGAGAAGACCAAAGGCACCGCAATGTCAGCCTTGTCCAGCTGGTTCCAGAAGCGGGCCATGCAGCACGCCCTGCTGATGCAGGGCCACGCCATGGTGAGCCGAGCTCACAGCTCCGCTACAGCACGGTGTCCCGCGGCTCGGACAGGGGGGAGACGTTAGTCCACTCTGTGCTGTCAGTGAACCAAGATGTCCGAGCTTCACGGAGGGATGCGATGCTGTCTTTGGCGTTAAATTTGCTTCGTGTGGAAACCCATCGCGCTTTCAGGGAACACAGCTGCAGAACTGAACGACTTTGTTTTGAGGTTTTTCTTTTTCTAACAGACGTCCTCTCCGCGTCTCTGTGTCCTCTGTGTCCGTGCGTCCTGCTACATCACTCCACGGCAGGGCTCTGCAAGCAAACACGGCCCCGCCTGCCCGCTCAGCATCCCAGAGACACTAGCCGAGGATGCACTTAGACGTCACGTTAGAGACAATCTAAAGAGGACTTCCGGTGTAACCTGCATTGTAAAAGCTCTTCCACCGTTTCGAAGCAGCGCAAATTGAAATACACCTCAAAGAAAAATAAACATATTAGAGGGATTTACCTTGTGTGTCGACAGGCTCCTATTAATAAACAGAATATCTGAGGGGAGCTACAAACACTGAAACACCGGCTCCCATTGAGACTATTGTGAGTTTCCTGTTAGTGCCGGGCTGATAAACATGCTGAGCTTGACGAACGGTTTGTTTTTACGCACCTGACCTACAGGAGGGTCATCCATCTTTTTATTTTTATTATTTTAGATATCATTTCATTTTCAAATAAACGCTTTGGTTCATTGCATATTTTCAATATTATTTACATGAATGTCAGTAAATATTAAGTCAGGTAATGCTGCAGTTCTATGCATGATTATAAAAGTATAAAAAAAACAGACAGTATTGAAGGGAATTTTAAATAAAGGAAGGTTTTTATTGATTCTTTCTCATATTCTTTAAAATAAAGCCATCACAGCACTCATTAAATAGGCCAGTGATTCATGCAAAGTCTCCTCTGTGACAGAGCATATCGTCATTTGCAGATTGTGCCAACAACAGCAGAATACATGAATAATGCCGACTCCTTACATGCCCCGAGGGCCTGTCTCAAACCGGACTTTAGTTTAAGACATCAGAAAAACACATTGTTTGAACGGAAGCCTTATACAGTTCAGCTGTTAAGCTTTACAGACATGACCATTGATTTTTAATTCCTATTGTATTTGCTATTATTGTTTGTTAGTGGGTGCAAGTGAAAACTGATTGAGTAAGAGAGATCAAAGTGTTAATGAGGTAATTAGGGTAGATAATAAATAATTTATGAGGATGTAATCAAATAGAAGAAAGAAGAAAGCCAATAAAACCCACTGATCCAGCAAATGTCAGCCTAACTCATTAGAAAAAAGATAATGTGCATAGATTACAGTCCTATCAGTGCGTTGCTTTGTGACACAATGCATAATCTGAATCATCTATATGCTCCATCCACACCTTTGATGATCCCTTTGTTAATTTCGGTGTGTGTTTAGCTCACTTAGCTTAGCTACTGTTGTCCAGACTAGGTGTCTATTTACCTTACCTTTTGGAAATAGTTTTTAAGCTTTTATGCAGCGCTGACATAGACCCCATGTGACAAGAAATGTATAATTTTTTCTAACAAAAAGATGGAGCCTTTACAAATATAAACACTTATATGCATACAGCATGGCCATGCTAGCCAGTGATTGCCTTCAATGCTCTGCAGGAAGTCCACAGCTTTGTGGCTTGTTGTTCTTTGCTGGGGATCTCTGTGTAGTGCATTACTTGCTTGTTCAAAAGTCAGATTGCATAGATATGGACTGGCAAATCAAAGTCTTTGCTAAGCTTTTGAGATAAGCCGGTCAATAGGAAATGCTGGTGGAGAGGTGACAGGAGCAGACTTTGGACCTCCTTCTCTCGCTCTTCCTCTTTGCCTCCACTGCAGCGCCGTAGTTTGGATTTCTTCTCTTGTGGAAATCATGAAAATTAATTTTGCCCCCATGGCTATACCCCTCCACAGGAGACTGCAGACTGCCATGGTGCTGCAGTGGGTCTTCACCTTCCTTGGTCTGGGTGAGTGTTGACTTTTCTGTGTGAGTTAAATTGGGAAACCTGTAGATGATGGAAGGATGCAAGAATGACTCTGCTAAAGAAGTAAAAGGATAAATGAAGATTTTCACATTAATATTATTGTTGTGAAACATAAACATGCTTGTTTAGCTGCTTTTGATAAAGTCACAATTAGTGCAAAACAGAGAGAACCTTTGTTTTACGTGAGCTGTAGTTCTGCATGGCCAGAGAGGGAGCCAGACAGAAGAGCATCCATCCAAGTCATTTCATCCGCCTGTTGTTTTTGTAGTTCTGGAGAACAGAGCTCCTTAATTCAGGTTTCCAAGCTTTTTTATTTTTTGACACAGCCACAGAACCCTGTTAATATTTGCTGCCACACTTTATCCCACTGGCTCTGTTCAAGTTTACATTTGTATTCTTAGCCACTTCACCATCTCTGTAACTAGTTTATGAGCTCCCTGGTGCAGCAGGTGATACAAGTCATTCATAGCTAGGTTTGTGATAACTAGTATTTCAGTGTCCATGCTAAACACGAGCTTTGATTATTTGCCTTCATGCTATTTGTCTTTTTTCGCCAAGAGAGATTAAAAATATTGATTCGAAGCGTCCTGAAAGCAATAAAAATGAGAGTGATAGCAAATATACAGTTATAAAACCAAGATTGGCACTTCTAATACATATCTGTAAATCTGTAAAGGACTTCAAGACTCTGAGATGGTCTCCCCCCTGAACAGAGTCCAATTTATGCATACGCTATCATGGCTAACTCTGATATAGTTACCAATCATTTAGTGTCTGTTGTGTTAGTGAATGTCCTTCTCGTCTCAGCACCCACCTGCATCTTCCTGTTCTTTTACCTGATGTTCACTCGCTACTGGCTGCTCAGCGTGCTGTATGCTGTCTGGTGGTACTTTGATTATGACACTCCTGCACGTGGAGGCAACAGGTCGCCCTTCCTGTGCAGCCTCAAAGTTTGGGAATACATGCGTGATTACTTTCCCATCAAGGTAAGAGAAAGCTTTAGACTTATTGTTTTTGCGTCATCTATTTTTTGTGCAGGCACATTGCTTCCATAAGGAGACAGAAAATCAATATGTGGAGGATTCGCTTGTGCAAGGGATTCGCTTGTGCAAGAGAGTAGGACATCAGAACATCTGCCAGGTCATCTGATCTAATCTCCAGCCTGCAATGAGGAATGCTTCTTATCTATGTCCTTGGCAACAAATGATCCACAGATGGAGGACACTCCTCTGTTTCCTGTTGTAATTAGGTACTGTGACAGTGTTATACAGTGATAAGTGACACTCATAGCTAAATATATGAGTTAAAAAATGTGCATACACTACTGGTCAAAAGTTTTAGAACACCTCAACCTTTTTGCAATTCCAGTCGTTCAAGTCCAATGAAAAGGTAAGAGGTGAACAGCCAGAAATAAAAGAAAAAAGGTAAGGTTACCCAAAACTGAACAATCATGTCCATTTCAGAATTCTACAAAAATACCTTTTTCAGGAACAACATGTGTTAATAATTTAAAACTGTTCTGCAGCAATGAAGGTTGATCAAGTCTTGAAAGCTGGTGCTACTAATTCCTACAGGTTTCCAACTTTTCTGGATTACTTACAGCCTCTTCTGTCTGCATGAAAGCCGTGCTGGAACACACTGTGGTACCAGGCCCTCGTGAGCATCAGTTGAACAGTATTGTACTGTTGAAAGTAGTGTGTTGCTACAAAAATGGTGAGAAAAAGGTGATTAACAATGGAAGAGACACAGACCTTTATAACACTTAAAAATAGGTCTGTCCTACAGAGAAACTGCAATGAAAGTCAGGTGTCGGTGACTACAGTTTCCCTAAACATCAGAAGAAACTGGAGCAAAATCTGACAGGTAGAGGTCTGCAGACCCAAAGACACAACTGAATCAGAGGACTGAGTTAACAGCTTGGGTGATAAGGGGCTCACGGGACAACAGTAGTCGTAGTAAGCAAGTCTCAGTTTCAACTGTGAAGAGAAGACTTCAAGCTGCAGGTTTGACAGAACAATGCTAAAACATCAGAATAAGACAAGGAGGCTTGTCTGGGCCATGAAACACGGCCACTGGACTACTGAAGACTGGAGGAAGGTATTATGGATGGATGAATCAAAATTTGAAATCTTTGGTTCATCAAGCAGGATCTTTGCAGGCGAGTAGATGAAAGGATGGTTCCAAGTCCAAGCTGTGCCAGAACTACCTCAGGAAAAAAGAACAAGATGGTGAGCTTGAAAACAGCAGCACAGTCTCCAGACTCAAACCCCATCGAGCTGGTTTGGGATTAACTGGACAGAAGAGAGAAAGCAAAGCAACTTACAAGGTCAACATTTATGGGAACTTCTGCAACAAATATGGGAAAAACTTTCTGAAGAATATTTGATTTCTGTCGTAGAAAGAATGTCACGGGTGTGTTCAGCTGTTATATCTGCTAAAGGAGGCTACTTTGAGTCAGAAGTCATTTCTGTTTTTTTAACTCCAGTTGCTTATTTGTACTTGGCTTTCATTTCAAGTTAAATGAGACATTAAACTGCACAACTTTCAATTACAAAAATTGGAAAAATTGTGTTCCAAAACTTTTGACCGGTAGTGTATTCATTCAATACTAAAAAGTCTAATAAAAATCCACATCTCAATAAAAATATTTCAAATATTTGTTTGTTTTGAAAGAAGATAAACAAACTGAAAGCATAAAAATAAAACCAAAAGCCCAGGGACCAACACCAGAGCACAAAGCGGGGGAACAGTCGTACATAACAAAATAAAGACAGGACTATATACACACAAGGGGCTAATTAGGGGACGAAAGAACAGCTCGGTGAAACTTACTTGATAAGGAGAAAAAGGGAAAAAAAGAAGAGACAAGACATGAGGGACAAAAGACTACCAAAATAAAACAGGATGTAATCTGATATAAGGTTAACACAGAGATGGAGACGTGACAAACTACAGGAGCACACAGAAGTATGAAGTGAAACTCAAAGAATGAAATATGAACCACAAGCAAAAACTAAATTGTCAAAGGTAAAAAAATAAAAAATAAACTGAGAAGGCCTGAGAATATAAGTGTAATGAAGCCAACCAGAAAACAGGAGCTATTAGGAAAGAATGTAAAATGCAAAAGAACTTAAAACTCAATAAACGCAGGAATCAAAAAATAATATGAAACTGAAACGTGGGTGAAAAACCCACGATCCATGAGAGAAGCTGCTGTAAATAAACGCTGCGTTGCCAAGCCCTGATTGTGCGTTACAGGCTCCCCTCTTGTGTTACATCACGCCCTCTTGTGACAGCATGGATGAGTAGTATTTTGTCTACACGACTATGAAGTGACTCCTGGCTTATTTTTTTAACCATGACAAATAACGGCAGAAGACCTTTTCTGTGAAATTCACAGAGAACAAAAACTCTATTAACAACATCTGCTTCATTACATGGATCGACTGCTCGCCCCTGGATGTGACTGATACTTTGGACCGAGCTGATAAGACAACGTGAAACAACAATGAAGCTGTTGTTGTTTTAGCACAAACCCCGTATAAGTGTTCATAAAGACTTGCTAAAAAACATTTATACTGAAGTTTATTTGTTTGGGTTTTTATTCTATGGGTGGATTCCTTAAAATTACTTTAAATAAATGTTTCACTGAAATCTAAAACTTATGATTACTAAAAATAATCATAAAGATCAACTTATTTTCCTCCTAGAAAGCTTTACATCTTAACAGAAAGTGATTGTAGATGTTTCATTTTGAAACTATCTGTAGTGCTGTAAGTGGGTCATATCTGTCTTTACGTGAAGAAGCCCTCGAAGCTATGCATGAAAACACAATAGAAACTGACCAGTATATTTGCTCAAGTCATTGGCTATTATTGTCCAATAGACGAGCAATATGAAAGCTTGTCCTTTATCTATAGGTCAGCTATGTCAACGTGCAGTCGGCCATAAAATATGTCACACTTGGGGCTCCTTGGATTAGAAACATGATCATGATACATTTAACAAAAAAATACAATACTGAAAATAATTTTAAATACAGTGACATGAATATTAATAATAAATACAACAAATAGTATCGGACACAAAATCACTAAAACTTTGTCTGCACATCAATAATAATAATAACAAGTAATACACACACACACACACACACACACACACACACATATGTATATATAAAATTCCCAGCACGCCCCTGCGGGCGGTTTATCCTTCAAGCTCGGATCCTCTACCAGAGGCCTGGGAGCTTGAGGGTCCTGCGCAGTATCTTAGCTGTTCCCAGGACTGCGCTCTTCTGGACAGAGATCTCCGATGTTGTTCCCGGGATCTGCTGGAGCCACTCGCCTAGCTTGGGAGTCACCGCACCTAGTGCTCCGATTACCACGGGGACCACCGTTACCTTCACCCTCCACATCCTCTCGAGCTCTTCTCTGAGCCCTTGGTATTTCTCCAGCTTCTCGTGTTCCTTCTTCCTGATATTGCTGTCATTCGGAACCGCTACATCGATCACTACGGCCGTCTGCTTCTGTTTGTCTACCACCACTATGTCCGGTTGGTTAGCCACCACCATTTTGTCCGTCTGTATCTGGAAGTCCCACAGGATCTTAGCTCGGTCATTCTCCACCACCCTTGGGGGCATCTCCCATTTTGACCTCGGGACTTCCAGGTTATACTCGGCACAGATGTTCCTGTACACTATGCCGGCCACTTGGTTATGGCGTTCCATGTATGCCTTGCCTGCTAGCATCTTGCACCCTGCTGTTATGTGCTGGATTGTCTCTGGGGCATCTTTACACAGCCTGCACCTGGGGTCTTGCCTGGTGTGATAGACCCCAGCCTCTATGGATCTTGTGCTCAGAGCTTGTTCTTGTGCTGCCATGATTAGTGCCTCTGTGCTGTCTTTCAGTCCAGCTTTGTCCAGCCACTGGTAGGATTTCTGGATATCAGCCACCTCCTCTATCTGCCGGTGGTACATACCATGCAGGGGCCTGTCCTTCCATGATGGTTCCTCGTCTCCCTCCTCTCTCTTGGGTTTCTGCTGCCTGAGGTATTCACTGAGCACTCGGTCAGTTGGGGCCATCTTCCCAATGTATTCTTGGATGTTCGTTGTCTCATCCTGGACTGTGGTGCTGACACTCACCAGTCCCCGGCCCCTTCCTTCCACTTAGCGTACAGCCTCAGGGTGCTGGACTTGGGGTGAAACCCTCCATGCATGGTAAGGAGCTTTCTTGTCTTTATGTCAGTGTCTTCTATCTCCTCCTTTGGCCAGCTTATTACCCCAGCAGGGTACCTGATCACGGGCAGGGCGTACGTGTTGATGGCCCGGATCTTGTTCTTACCATTCAGCTGACTCCTCAGGACTTGCCTGACCCTCTGCAGGTACTTGGTGGTTGCAGCTTTTCTAGCGGCCTCTTCATGGTTCCCATTTGCCTGCAGGATCCCCAGGTACTTGTAACTGTCCTCTATGTCTGCAATGTTGCCTTCTGGTAGTTCAATCCCCTCAGTTCTGACTACCTTCCCTCTCTTTGTTACCATCCGACTACACTTCTCCAGTCCGAACGACATCCCGATGTCATTGCTGTATAGCCTGGTAGTGTGGATCAGTGAATCGATGTCTCGTTCAGTCTTGGCATACAGCTTGATGTCATCCATGTACAGGAGGTGGCTGACAACTGCTCCGTTCCTTAGTCGGTATCCGTAGCCAGTCTTGTTAATGATCTCACTGAGGGGGTTCAGGCCTATGCAGAACAGCAGTGGGGACAGAGCATCTCCTTGGTAGATCCCGCACTTGATGGTGACTTGTGCTATGGGCTTGGAGTTGGCCTCTAGTGTTGTACGCCACATCCCCATTGAGTTCCTGATGAAGGCTCTTAGGGTCCCATTGATCTTGTACAATTCTAAGCATTCCAGTATCCAGCTGTGGGGCATTGAGTCATAGGCCTTCTTGTAATCAATCCAGGCAGTGCACAGGTTGGTCAGTCTG